GACATGCAGACCAATAGAAAAGGATAGAAACTCTAGAAATTATCCACACATCTACAACCAACTTATCTGTGACAAAGGAGAAACCCCTTAACCCCTGGATCTAAGAAAATCTCTTTAATAAATGGTACTGTGGGCCAGTGCCGCGGCTCACTAGGCTAATCCTCCGCCTTGCGGCGCCAGCACACCTGGTTCTAGTCCCAGTAGGGGCACCGGATTCTGTCCCAGTTGCCCCTCTTCCAGCCCAGCTCTCTGCTGTGGCCAGGGAGTGCAGTGGAGGATGGCCCAAGTGCTTGGGCCCTGCACTCGCATGGGAGAACAGGATAAGTACCTGGCTCCTGCCATCAGATCAGCGTGGTGCGCCGGCCGCAGCGCGCAGGCCGCGGTGGCCATTGGAGGGTGAACCAACGGCAAAAGGAAGACCTTTCTCTCTGTCTCTCTCTCTCACTGTCTACTCTGCCTATCAAAAAAATAAATAAATAAATGGTACTGTGAAAACTGGGTATCTGCATGCAGAAATATGAAACAAGACCCATACCTTACACCTTATACAAAAATCCACTGAAAATGGGTAAGAGACCTAAATCTATGACATAATACCATCAAATTACTAGAGAATTTGTGGAAACCCTAAAAGACATTGGCATAGGGAACGACTTCTTGGAAAAGACCCCAGAAGCACAGGCAATCAAAGCCAGTATTAACACATGGGATAGCATCAAACTGAGAAACTTCTGCACTGCAAAAGAAACACTCCATAAAGTGAAGAGGCAATGACAGAATGGGAGAAAATGTTTGCAAACTATGAAACTGACAAAGGATTAACTTCAGGAATCTATGAAGAGCTCAAGAAACTCAACAATCACAAAACAAACCACCTAGTCAGGAAATGGGCAGAGGACCTGAATAAACATTTTTCAATACGGGAAATTCAAGTGGCCAATAGACACATAAAAAATGCTCAGGATTGCTAGCTGTAGGGAAATGCAAATCAAAACCACAGTGAGGTTTCACCTCACCCCCAGTAGAATGGCTTTCATACAGAAATCAACAAACAACAAATGCTGGCAAGGATGTGGGGGAAAGGGTACTCTAATCCACTGTTGGTGGGAATGTAAACTGGTACAGCCATGGTAGAATATAGTAGACCTATCATATGACCCAGCCATCCCATGCTTGGGAATTTACCCAAATGAAGTGAAATATGCATATGAAAGAGTGATCTGTACCCCCATGTTTACTGCAGCTGAATTTTCAATCACTAAATTAGGGAATCAACCCAGATGTCCATCAACGGAAGACTAGAAATTATGATGTATATGCACTAAGGAATACTACACAGTGGTAAAAAGAATGAAATCTTGTTATTTGAAACAAAATGGATGCAACTGTAAACCATTATACTTAGTGAAATAAGCCAGTCAGAAAAAGACAAATGTGATATAGTCTCTCTGATCTGTGGTAATTAACAGAGCACCTAAAATGTAGTTTATGGGAGCAAAACTGACACTCTGAGATGCAATGATTTTGAACAGCCCTTGTATTGACTGTCGAGGAACAATATATTCTGTTTGTTTGGTTGGTTTTGTTCTTCATTTTTTCTTAATCAGTGAACTCTCTACTTAGTGTAGGGTAAATATTGAGTATAAAAATTAAGATCTCTAAAAAATAAGAATGGGAAAGGAAGAGGGAGGGGAATAAATGTGGGATTATGGGTATGAGGAAGGTAGTAGGGGAAGAATCATCATGTTCTCAAATATGTATACATTAAATGTATGAAGTTGTATTCCTTAAACAAAATAAAAAAATTAAAAGAACTATAATAAAGTTGAATTACCATTCATTCAATACATATTGATTGAGCCTTTACTCTGCTGGGCACTCTGCCAAGCCAGGCAAATGCAGTCCTTGCTTTGATGAATCTCACAGTTAAAATTCCACACCAATGAGTATTAGAGCTGGGATGTTATGTGTTTGCCTGATTCCTATGAAAACCTGGTAGCCTACCTCCATGTCAATTTACTTTTGAAAACTAAAAGATAATTATGGTTGAAATATTTTTAGCGAAGGAAGGAAAAATGTAAAAAGATGAGGTTAAGAAAGCAGTGATTTGGCACCTGGGGCAAATCAAAAAGGGCACATCTCCAGAATAATGGGAAATTTTTCATGGTCTTTAGCTAGAGTAAGGTGTGTTAAGTATTAATTTTTTAAAAAGATTTATTTATTTATTTGAGAGGCAGAATTATAGATAGAGAGATGGAAAGACAGAGAGGTCTTCCATCCGCTGGTTCACTCCCAAGATGGCTGCAATGGCTGGAGCTGCACTAATCCGAAGCCAGGAGCATCTTCCAGGTCTCCCACGTAGGTGCAGGGACCCAAGGACTTGGGCCATCTTCTGCTTTCCCAGGCCATAGCAGAGAGCTGGACCAGAAATGGAGCAGCTGGGACTAGAACTGGTGCCCATATGGGATGCCAGCGCTTCAGGCCAGGGCTCTAATCCGCTGTGCCATAGCGCCAGCCCCAATTTTTAAATTTTTTAACTTCCCTGCAGTTTGTTGATGAGGAATAAAAGGACATCAAGAGTAGGCATCATAAAACCAATCAGAATGCTATTGTGGTAGTCTGGGTATGAGATCACATTGATTTGAACTATTTGGGTGATACTGGAGATAGAAAGAAGTGGACAGTTCTGAATTTGATCTTAGATATCGAATGTATAGGCTATGGTAATTGGCTGGTGGGCGTGGTAGGTAGTGACAGTAAGGCAGAATTGTCGAGCATAACTTCTGAGTTTCTTATCTAAGCAATTTTTTAAAATATTATTTATGTGAAAGTCATAATTACACAGAGAAGAGGCAGAGAGAGAGAGAGAGAGGTCTTCCATCTGCTGGTTCACTCCCCAGTTGACCTCAATGGCCAGAGCTGAGCCGATCTGAAGCCAGAAGCCAGGAGGTTCTTTCAAGTCTCCCATGTGGGTTCTGGGGACCAAGGACCTGGGCCATCCACTACTGCTTTCCCAGGCTATAGCAGAGAGCTGGATTGGACTTGGAGCAGCCGGGTCTCGAACCGGCGCCCATATAGGATGCCGGAGCTTCAGGCCAGGGTGTTAACCCATCTAAGCAATTTTATAAATATTGCTGACATTTACTGAGATTGAATGTGCCAGGGAGAATTGTTGTTGTTGGGGAAATGTTATTGGTTAAGTTTCAGACACTATCAACTTGAGATACCTGTGAGAGATTCAAGTGGGAGTGCTGAGTAGTTTAGCTGATATGCATTGGATGACTGCCTTAATGGTTGGTCCAACATTATCCTGCAGTAATTATAGCATATGTGTATGGCCCAGTCTAAACCAAATATCTTGACTTCCATAGCACAGTGACTAATTCATTAAAAAGCAATGTGAGCCTTACTGGACCAATCAAATTTGTTCTCTTTATTCGAATGGGGAGAAGAGAGATTTTCAAACTCTGGTTTAGAGCTTTGAGCCATCAATTCATAGCTATTAGTGAGGATGTCCCTTTTATGGGAATATACTGACTTTTGAAAGAATGGAGGTGATATACAGAGAGAAGACACAAAAAGAATTTTGAGAACTACCAGAGACCTTTTGTTTTGCCCCTACTTTGATTACATGCGCTAAGAGTTACAATCTGTCTGTCTGTCTCTTCATCTTTGTCTCTCTGTTTTGTCTTTAGCTAATTTTCAGTTAGATTCTATCATTTATAATCATGACAGGCAGTACTAATAATATAAGTTAGCAGTTTTATTCACAATCTAGGAGAGAGCAAGGCATCTTTCCTGTAGACAAATTGTTGATATAGATAGTAGAATTTGTAGCCAAGGAATGGAGGAAGTCACCAAAAAAGCAAAGACAGAGGGGCGCTGAGATCTAAGCTCTAAGGAGCTGTAACACTAAAGACAGAAGAGAAGAGGATGAACATTCAAGGAGATTGAGAGTGATACTTGAAGTCATGGGAGGAAGTCTCAGAGAGTGTGGTGTCCCAGGAGCCAAGGATGTTTTAAAGCAGAGGTGATCAACTGTGTAGAATGTGTAAGAAAGGAGAAGTACAACAGCTGAAAGTGAGCCATTGGATTGGGCAGCATAGAAGTTATAGATACCTTTACCAAGAAAATTTTCAGTGAAGTGGAGGGATCAGAAGCCAGTTGGAGTGAAATTAATATTTCAAAACCTCAAATGAATATTTCAAAACCAAATTCTGAATATGAATACAATTCTTTGGGCATGTTAATTGTAAAGGGAAGAAACCAGCAAAGCTGACAACTGGAGAGGGAGTTCTGGAAGGGCGTTTTACATTTATTTAAAATTGAGAGTGACTAAAACAAAATTACATTCAAAGATCTACCAGAGCACAGGGGAATAGACAGCTAACCACAATTGGGTGGGTAGGGGAAGGTTTCCCCGTGAAGACGATTTTGAGCTGAGTCTTGAATAGTAAGTGAAGTTTTCCCAGCAAAAGAAGGCATTGCAAACAAAAGGAAGGGTGCAAGCTAAGACTAGGGGGTGTGCTTGGAGGACAGTCCATAGCTCAGAGCATGGAAACCCTTAGCCCTGTACCCCGTTGCAGAGAAAGGAAAACCCACACAATACCATTCTCTACCTTTTCTCTTTGTTCTCAGTTTCATTTGTAAAATACTTATATTAGGCCAGATTATGTTTAAAGTCCATTCTAATATTAAAACCTGTAGCTAATGGCCATCAGTCTTGAGTGTTTTGTTATACTGATAATAATATGCCCCTAAATGAAGCAAATGTTACGTGAACATAATGATTGCAGGCTCAGCCCAACATGGCTCACTTAGAAGGGAATAATTGTGAAATATCTTTGAAGTCTACTGTGTTTTGCCTTAGAAGTGCATGTACATCATGTTCCTTAAAATATTTGACATATTTTATTAATGAAGTGTTTTGATGTCACTCACTGATGCCTCAGGAAGATTGGCTAACTCTACCCTTTATTTAAGTATTTCCTGGTAGCTACCTGCAGAAGCTCTGAGCTGGAATGAAAGTTCAGGCAGTCTCTGGGTTTCTTTTCACTTGCCCATTCACAGTCAGATTCACAGAGGCAGGCTGAGCACCAGGTCCCTGCAGAAGAGAAATACGGAGGAACCTAAGGATAGACAAGAGAGCTGAAGAGTAGCTTATCTGGGTTAACTGATCTTTATTAATGTCTTGGGCCAAAGGGAGTCAAGTAATTGCCTTATGAACCTTAGTTTCTTAGCTACTCTCACATTATTTTATTCATAGACTATTGGCTATATGGATTTTCTTTACAAAAGAGTATGATACGTAAAAGCTTCCTAAAATTGCCTGAAAGAAAAAAAAGCAATGCACATTTATTGGATTCTTGGCAAAAGACTGGAAAAATGTTCCAGAACTGATGAAGCAAGTTATTTTTAGACAACTTAGCTCTAAAGTATGTTGGTTCCTCTGTGAATGAGTTCATAGCACATGCCACAAACTACTTTGGACTGATCCTTTTGGGGGAAACAATTTCCATTTTTCCTTTTTATTATGTAATAAAATAAAATGAACAGTCTCCGTGCTGTTTTGGTAGAATTCCTCTATTGAAAGCACTTTTCTGTCTGCTTCTATCTCCATGTTTGCCTTTATATCAGCCCTTTGCTTTGCTTTTGTGACTTGAAGACATTAGTAGGAACTGAAGTCCTTCCCACCATTCATTTAGGACTTTACTTGTCCCCATTTTTAGCTCATGAGCTCACCCTTATGATTCATCAGATTTCGTATACTACAATCCTCTGCTGTTTTCCTTTTTTTATGAAAAGTTGAGAACTAACACTTTATATGGCATTGCGGGAGAAGGATTAGAGCACTGGTAGTTACGGAGATCTGAAGTTGTGATAAGAAATACACACGTGATTAGAAGACCTCCCTGACTTAGTCTTAAAATGGCATTAGTCCTGATGGTGCCAATGAGAATCAAGGGACTGCGTGGTCTCAGAGCAAACACAATAGCTGTCTGCAGGATGCTCTTAATCTCAAGGGCAAATCAGGGAAATGGGGTTTCGGAGGCCTTGCCACACACACATCCCCCTGTGATTATAGAACCAAACACCCGTGATTCAAAGTGACTGCTTATCAGATACTAGAAATGTCTTCTAAACCATTAAAGGATTATGCAAGTCTGCTTGGCAGTCCCATGTAACTGAAATTAATAGAAGTTTTAATGTCATTTGTAGATGTTTCTGAGACTGCGCTTTTGAAGTTTCTAATAATCTCTCTTTCTGTGGAAGGGAAATTAAGTTTACTTTTCCTAAGAAGCAGGGCCTGGATGCAGGTGCGTTTCCTCTATGTATCCTGTTTACTTTGCATGCAGGTCCTCTTCTTTGTACATCCTGGGCAAATTTCAACTCAAACAGCATACTTGGAGTACTAGTTTCTTTATGTTTTTAGTAGCCTAGAATTTGGTATTCTAGTTAAAATACACTCTTGGTAAATATGTTGGTTCTAGGGACTAGGAAAATCCAGAGGCCCTCTGTACTCACATGATCTTACCCCTTAAATTATTCCTGACTACATTGTCTGATGACAGAAGTGATCAATTTCCAGTATTCAATTTTAAGCTCCAATCTCTGATAAAACACACATGGAACCATTTTTTAAAATATTTTTATCATTCCTTATGCTTGATGTGAATGAAGGGTCTTGGGGATTTTGACATGGAGTGGTGATGAGAACTCAGGCTACTGGTGAGTGAGTGAGAGTAGATTCTCTGAAGGGAGACTGTGTAATTCAGCAGCTGTGATTGGGGTGGCCTTGCCTTCATTCATGAAAGTAGGGAAAATCCTTCTGTGAGGAGGGGCTTCAAACCCTTTGACACGCTTTCTGCGTGTAGCAGTGGAGGGTTCAGTGCTAGGGAATCTACACCAGCTCTTCCTTCTGTCTCCCCCTGGTGGACATGCACCAGTCTGTGTCAATATGGATAAATCAAGGTGGCCACCATTAAGCGGCCATATGCATTTGTAAGTGTCTCATGTTTTCATGAGACTTTCTTGCCACTGGTTACAGATTTGACTTTTGAGGCTGAATGATGCAAAAACTCTCATGTAACAGAGTTTACATAGAAGTTTCTTGTGATACCTTTGTCTAGTTTTAGTATCAGTTAATGTTGGCTTCTTAGAAAGAGCCTCCTCCACTTTTATTTTTTGGAAGAATTTATAATGGATTGGTATCCTTCTTTAAATGTTCAGTAGAACTCACCAGTGAAGGAACGTGGACTGGATGTTCATTGTGAAGGGTTGTTCGTTTCACTACATGTGTAGAGAAAAAAAGCAGATGTGTAGTTGTCTAATGACCTTTAGGCAGTGACTGGTTGCCTAGTGACTGTGAGGGAACACAAGATTTCTTCGGGGGGTGATGAACATGTTCTAAAATTAGATTGTGGCAATGGTTGCACAACTATGTGAAAACATTAAAAACCACGGAAGTGTTCTTTTTAAACGATTGTCTTTCTTTTCTGGCCAATGTAAAACACTCATTTAGCTTTGAACATGCTTCTACCATTTTACTTATTTATTCATATCTTATATTTCATTGTTCTTGTTTGAAGCAAAAAGGGGTACACAGAACACATACTAAAGCTAATTGTGATGCCTCCTTTTAGTGAGTCTTTTATAAAAATAACTTCCAAACTGCTTTAAATTTATTTAATTATGTCTGTCTGTATGTATGTATGTATATGATTGAAAGGCAGAGAGTTAGACAGAGAGAGAGACCTCTCATCTGCTGGTTCACTCTCCAAATGCCCACAGCAGCCAAAGTTGGGCAGGACCAAAGCCAGGAGCCATCAACTTAATCTGGGTCTCCCACTTGTGTGACGGGAGCCCAGCTACCTGAACCATCACTTCTGCCTTCCAGGTGTGCATTAGTAGGAAGCCAGAAGGCAGAGTGGAGCTGGGTCTTGAACTCAGCCACTCTGCATGTGGCATCCCAAGGGGTATCTTAACCACTCCACCAAATATCCCACAAACTGCTTTAATAGTCCTTAACACCAACTGACACTTTCTTTGTACAGATGTCATCAAGATGTTGTAAAAATATTTTACAGTTCTTGCCCCTGCAGAAGCATGATGTTGAATAATTAACTATGCATGTGGAACTATTCACCAGAGCTAATGATACCAGGTGAGAAATTTTCACACCTCGTGTGGTATACAAATAAGACACATTGAAGAGGGTAGAAGGGATAGTTTTACATTACCTGCATCAGTGCTCCCCAGACCCAAGGAAGCACATTGTGGAGCTTGGGAAGAGAACAGGGGAGTGAAGAGAGAACTTTGTCTTGAACCCCTACTTGAGGTCAGCCCTAGTAAAATAATTGGCAGAACTCCCCCCAGCCAGAGACTCCACACTGGTACCTGAAGATACAGGTTCTAGCCTTGCCCTGTTGACTCAATCCCTTGCCCTGTGTTAACACTTGGCTAATCCCCATGCCTCAGGCTCCAGACTTTCCCTGTGCCAGTGGACCCAGTGGACCCAGTGGTCCTGGGCTTTGGCCTTACCCCAGAACCAAGTCAACCTCACAGACCCAGACTCCAGGCTCTATCCAGAACCAGGCCACTGTAGCAGCCTCAAGCAATAGGCTGTCTCTTACCAAGATGTGCCCACGACCCTAGTCATCAGAGTATAACCCACACACCCAGCCTCCAGACCAGACCCTATGGTTATAGGCTATAGGTCCATCACATGCCAGGTCAGGTCTAGTTTCTGGATCAGCCCAGAACAAGTTAGCCCACATAGCCCTAGGTATCAGTCCCACCCCATAGCCAGGTTTAAATATCTGGTCTTAGCCATCAGACCCATGGATATAGTTCTGAGACCTGCCCAGTGCCAGGCAGATACCATACTTCAAGTCAATCCTTATGATTCCAAGCTCCAGCAGACTTAGGGTTCAGGCCTATTCTATCAAGTGTGGAGTCTGAGACTGCACCTTCTGATTCAAGCCCTGGGCCACACCCCATGGAGCCAGGTCTTCCCACATGGACTTAGGATGCAGACCTGCCTCCATACCAGGCCTTCCCTGTCCATTCAGGCTGTAGTGTGTCCTGGCACCAGGCCCATACCAGCATCTAGCCAACTTCTACAGACATATGCTCTTGTAAGTTTAGCCACTATGGACCCAAGTTTTGGGTCAGTACCCCATGTATATAAACTCCAGAGCAACGGTCACAAAACCAGGCTGCAAGTCCATGGCTGTAGTAAAATATCAATAGATCCAACGAAGTGGATCTAGGCTCCAGGACCAACCCTAGTGACCTGCTCCCTAGGGTCACCCACCAGCTCATCCAGGCACCAGAGCAGTCTGCCTGAGGACTCCAGGAGCAAGCAATGTCCAATGACTTGCTCATAATTTCTGAATAGGTTGACTGGTATAGGGCTTTCCCCAACAAAGGAAGTTCACAAAGACTAGAATAAGTTCCCACTTTCTCTTCACAATCATAAGCATCAAAAATAACCAGAAAATATCACCAATAAAGGAACAGATTACCAGTAACTGACCTAAAAGAAACAGAGATGTATGAACTTCCTGACAAATGATTTAAAATAATAGCTTTGAGGAAGCTCAGTGAACTCCAAGAAAGCACAGGGAAGTAATTCAATGAAAGGAAAATAATACGTGTCAAAAAATGAGGAGTTCACAAAGATAATTATTTTCAAAAAAAAATTCTGAAACTGAGAAGCACCATGAATGAAATGAACAGTGCAGTAGAATATCAATAGCAGAATTTATCAAAGCAGAAAGAATCTCTGAGCTCAAAAGCAGTTTATTTGAAAATATACAATCAGAAGAGAAAAAAGAAAAAGAGTGAAAGGGATGCAAGAAGCTTCTTACATTTATGGGACAGCATCAAAAGAGCAAATGTTTGAGTTTATAAGTTTAAGAGAGAGAGACAGACAAATGCATAAAAAGCTTATTTAAAGAAATAATTGCAGGCCGGCGCCGTAGCTCACTAGGCTAATCCTCTACCTTGCGGCGCCGGCACACCGGGTTCTAGTCCCGGTCGGGGCGCCGGATTCTGTCCCGGTTGCCCCTCTTCCAGGCCAGCTCTCTGCTATGGCCAGGG